TTAGGTTTATTTTGTTTTTTTCTTTTTTTAGGTCTAGTGGAGTTGTTAGAAATTACCAAGCAAAATTAATCCGCGACTTTCTTCCTTTAGGTGTTGTGCAAAAATAGATGAAGAGCCCGATGAATGGATTTTTCCTTGGTGTGAACAATAACCTAAAAATCAGTTTTCCACGATAAAAAACTCCCTCGATTGCGGCCAAGCCATATTTCTCTACCAGAGCATACTGTAAATTAAAAACATCGGTCGCAGAGTCACGCAACATTGCGTGATTTTCTAAACGTGACATGCAGTTGCTGCATTATTTTAAACTTAGAAACTACATGGCCCTCCAGTAATAAAAGAGGGCTTCATTTGCAAGCACTGTAGACTTCAACATAAGAAGAACCCTAATAAATCTCTCTTTCAGTTTTCATCTCAGTGTATAAATTATTTAGCCAGAACGAAAACAAAAATTAATATACGCATGAGTTGGAGCCATTCCTGTCTGCGGTTAAATACACGAATGGCTCCAGTCTCTGGTCGTCCGCCTGAACTGACTAAATGAGTTTTGTCAGCAGAGCTTCTCAGCGGATGACTTTTTCATCGCCGGAATATCGCTGAACGACCTCGCTGAACAAGATAGACTGTACCTTCTCTTCGTTATGTAAGTAGCCATTTACTTGTTTGACTCATCGGTGATTTCACATTGGCTTTTCATTGTTCCGCTTCGAGACACGCGGTTAAGAGTACTCGCGAGCAAGGAGTTAAGATATAACTTATTAACTTTTAATATTTTTATCGTCCAATCACAAGTCGGAGCCATTCCTGTATTGAGTCGCTTGTCGTGAACATCGGAGAGTGATGTGAACACATTACTATTACAATACTAAAATGGTTTATTAGTCGTTTTAGCCGGTTCTTAGCGGCGGAATTTCGCCAAAATTAGTATTTATTGGCATACGTGGTAGGTAATTTTACAACATGTTTTGACCAAGAGTTTCATTCAACTACATATATCTAACCCAAGGTATCTTTCTGGACTGGAATGTCAGAAATGGTATTTGTATTAACTAACTTTGCAGGTATAATTTTCAATAGTTTGTCTGAGTATGCCAGGGTAGCTGAGTGAGGCTGATAAATTACAGTGTTTTGCCTTTTTTTTTTTTATCTTAAACAAGGCCATAATTTGAAGCAATTTTGTCTTCATTCTTTAACTTCCAAGATCTGTTTGCTAATTCTCCCCTCTAGTTTCTAGACGTTTCCTTGTACATTTGTTGTAGGAATTTGTTGTTAGATCAAGATAATAACTTATCCTTTTGTTGGATTAATTGTGTAGATATTTTAGGAAGAAGTTAAATTTTAATCCCATGTGTGAGTTTAAGGGTTAAACAGCATGATGTGATACACTGCCACCTAAATTTCACTGAAGTTTGAAATATCCAGGACTTTAGCATTCCCCACAAATTTGTTCAAACTGCAGCTTACTAATTCTGCAGAGCAGTAGCAAAATACAACTCTGATGCTTATTTCACAATTTTGACAAGTAGTAGTTAATCTTTCATTTACTCAGACTGAAGGGAAAATGAAATTATTCTTTAACTTGAAAGGTGATTGATAAAGAAACCTTGAGACTTCACCTTACCCAGACTATTTTTTCCACAAGCCTGGTGTAACCAACATGCCAGCAATAAATTTTAGATAAGTTTAATTTCCTGATGACTGGACTGAACTCTTCTATTTACATGCCATTGCCAGTGGTTTCTAAGTAAAGTTTTACGAACATAATACATTAAGAACGGAATGACTAATTACAAGATTGGAAATAACATAGGAAAAACAGATAACAATAGATATATATAACATAGGCAATACTAATAATATAGGAAACATGGGTCATTTGACGAAAGAGTAATTTAGCTGACGATTTTGGAATAACAATGCACTTGCAATTACCTTTTAACTTGAGCTCACACCTTTTTTATATGCATGATCTGCGCAAAAGTCAAACATATATGGCTAGCTGTGTGGACTGGAGCTGGGGGGGGGATAATGGTTTCTACACCTGGTGTCTTCTCTTGTCATTTTCTGAGCTGGAACAAAATGTCTCAAAAGAAAGTTGTGTTCCAGGAACAACACCCCCTCTTGATCTTATCTAGTTGTTATTGTTAGGTACAAAGAAGCAAATTCACCTCACATTTGTGTGAATAAAAATATGTAATAGTTAGTTTGCTGGGCAGAGTTTATCAAGCAGGGAAGATGATGACATTACCTGAAAACAAAAACCAAAAGAAAATCAGAAGAAGAAGAAAAGAAAATACATTATTGACTCAGGTAATGTTTTGGGGTGAACACTAGCAGTTTCAAAAGAAACAGATGTTGAGACTCTACACAAACTATTACACCTTTATTTTTGTTTTAATGGTGTACTGTGCTGTACAGTGTCCTTGTCACTTCCAAATGCAATCTGCATTATTACGAAAACATGATGTAAAAAGATTCACATAACGATATGTACAACATCACAATGATGTCCTGACCCTATTTCTAAATTAATCTTATATCTTTGTTAGATTCTGATGAAGATCCTCTTCCTCCAAAAATCAGGTATGTGATTTGTTTTTTCAATTTTGTTCCATTTTATACAGTTGTAATTGACCTCTGACCCTAATATCACCCCTGAGTCAAGAGTCAAGGAAATGATCACGAACTATAGAAGCTCTTGATTAGTAAACAAAATCTCCTTTTCAGCACCTTAGAAAATGCATAGAGAACAGTATGGAGAGTATGGATACTGATGTCAGTGTTGTGTATTCAGAACCTGGTTCTCTTTCACTCATCTGTTTCAGAAAAGCCACATCAGTTAAGAAGGAGGAGAGTTCAAAAGTTAAGAAAAGCAGAAGAGCAATCAGCTTGGACTCAGGTAAGGAAATTTTGTCTACTTATTGAGGGTACCTGATACTTTCTACATGAAAGGTGATGTGGAGACTTTATCTTCACGGGAATTGTGATTTCATCTTTTTTGTATAATTATGTATATTTTTAATTTTTATAGGATTAACAGTTTTTATTAACAGGTTAGAAAGAGTGAAAATATGAATTTGGTTTAATTTTTTTCTTTGGTTTTATTTATCTTCAAAATGTGATCGTCTTGAATTTCATGTGAATGTGAAAACGTTTTGGATACTTTTCATGTGAAATAAGATGATCAACTATTTTTACATGACTGAGGTCAACACAAGGGTTTTTAGCAGACTCTGCTTAATAAGTGACCTTTAGATCCGAGAACAGCGGATGTCTATGACAGCTTTCATGACTGAGGGGGGACTGGGAAGAGGTTGCCATTGCAAGGCGTGAAAAATCCTTAAGAGACCAAGTCAAAGGCAGCATTGTTTACATATTTTAGATTTTTATCAGAAAGTACTTCAGTCATGGCTTCCTTCAGAAAGATTCGTAGCATTCTTCTGCAAAGTTTTGATAATGGTGATATATCAGAGGACGAGCTCCTTCTTTATGACGTTAACACATCTAAAAACCCAGATGTTCCTTATGAAAGTTATGGGAAATTTGACCTTAATGATATGGATGACAGTCAGTGTTTATTCGAGTTTCATTTTCATAAGAGTGATGTTCTCGTCCTCCCTGAGGCCCTACATCTTCCTAACTACTTTACAATTGTCAACAAGGAGCAATATGCAATGGAAGACCTAACAATAAAATAAAAGCAAGGGTACAAAACAAAATCCAGAAACATATGCCTGAAATTGCTGGAAACTACATTCATCTTGCACAGTACAAAGTCAGGCTATGACTTAGTTTTGTTTTATCTAGAAGTTTTATGATAATTTGAGACTGCTGCTGCTGCATTAGCGTGAACATCTTCTGAAAATTTTGCATTTGTTCTTGTTGCTGTTTAGTTTGCTGCAGCATGACCAGCATCAAATCCTTATGTTGCTTTTTTGACTGCTCCTCCTTCTTACTTTCAGCCTCTAGTTGCTGCTTCTGCAGCTGCATTTCTTCCATTTTCCATTTCTGCACGAGATTGTTCTTTTCTCACAAATATGCCATTGTGTCACTACAACTTCTTCAACATTTTGCTCTTGCTGCTGTTTCACTCTCTACCCCATCTTTCCTTTGTCTTTTCTTAGTCTCGCCAAGGTTCTCTAGAGCTCTGTATCTTATTTCTGCTGCTTTGGCATTATCAACGTTCTTTTTGGCATTATCAACGTTCAATGCAATTATCAATGCATTTTGCATTGTTTCTTCAACCACAGCTTCTTTTTCTACTATCTCCCCAAGTGCTTTTTCAACATCGCTCAAATCTATATCTATTCTACTTGCCTTTTCTTCATCTCGCATCTTTGCTCTAAATTTGTCGCTCAAAAGCATTTATTGTTCTCTGACAGATCACTGCATCACTCTGAACTGGGGATGTTGAAGGCTGTTCAGATTGTTCGCTATTTTACCCCAAATTTGGCCCCTTGCAATGCTTCCTTTCTTTGCCTTGAATGGTTCAAGAACAAGAATCTCCTGACAAAGAATATTGTCATGTTGTTCAGTCCACACCATGTTGGTTCTAAAGATAATAATAAACTGTTAGCGCTTATTCTTTTTTTTTTTGTGTTGTATGTTGCTTGCCTTTTTTTTTTTACTGCAAGCAGAACCCTTTTTTGTTCACCAAATATGCAAGACACTATCACAAACATAAGTAATCGAGAGATTTTTCTAAGGGTAATTCATGTTGAAATTCACCACATTCATTGTTAAAAACTTGAAGAAAAGAGAATAAGAGAACTTCCTAAGCAATATTCTTGGCACTCGTGTCGGCTGCAGCCATGACCTGTTTAGTGGAGAAGGAAAAAAACATGTTTTTCGCAAAAATCAGGTCCCAGAAGAGTATTCAAATGAATTAAAAATGTTATTGACTCCGTAATGCGTAAAATATTCAAAATTATAAATTAAAGATATTTTATAAAAACACTGTAATCAACTCACAGTTTGTACGAAACAGCAGACTAGTTGTTTTGACATCACAGACAACACAGCTACAGCAGGAATTTACGGGAAAGGGCTACTGGAAGTAGACAGACATGCATTCAAACTTCCGCCCACCATCGTAGACATCCGCCATCCTTGGATCTTAAGGTCCCTATTGATGGAGTGGGAGGGCTGGATAGGGAAATATTTAATGTGAGGTGAGCTTGAGGTACATGTACAGTAAGATGATGTCAGTTTTTTTAACATTGCGTGACCTTTAACATTGCTCATGTATTAGCTTGCCAAAGAAAACAAAGCCATCTGCTTCATTCAGGGTTCAGCACACTAACCATTAGACCACTCTGCCTCAAATAGAATTTGAATATTGTAGCACTTGACTTATATTCTGATGTGGTTTCTACAGATGAGGAAGAAGTTGTGCCCAGCAAATTAAAAGAGTCTGCAAAACAGACAGACAAAGTAGCTTCTCAAGAGGTCCAGCAAGTTAAAGAGAGGTATCATCCATCATCTCTTTCATTATATTTGACATTCCAGTACCAAACCATGGTGTTCATTTAGAACATAAGATATTGCTCTGGAGAATGATCTGGTTTCTTCTAAAATTATCCAGCTAAATTTTTTTGTCTGTTTGTTTGTTTTTTCTGTTCTTCCATCAAGCATTGAGAATGTTAGACCTGTCATAGGACACTGCTCTTATGCTAATACATTTAACCCTTTGACTGCAAAGAGTGACTAGCATCTAATTTCTCTTTACAATATTCCCCCTGAATCAAACATTTATATGCATATATTGCTTTTTTTGTTGAAAGTAGGTTATTTAAATGGTCTTCTTTCACTGGAGCTTCTTTTTGGTGAAAGATGATTTATGGAAATTTACTGTGGATTGTTTGCTTTTCCGTTTTCTCCAAAATTTTAACTTTTGGATAGGCACAATGTTACACACAGGTGTTAAGGTTAAGGTCACAAGAATAAAGGAAATGATCACCAACTAAGCTCTTGTTTGTTAATCAAATTCTCCTTTGTCAGTACCTTAGGAAATGTATAGAGAACAGTATGGAGAATATGCATACCGAGTTTTAGGTGTTAAGGGTGAAAATGAAAAACAAATAAACAAACAACAGCAACATAATAAAGACAGTGTCAGCATCTGTGCACCTACCCCTCCCCCTAACCCAGCAACCATCAACTGCTAACAAGTAAGGGTTAATGTTGTATTAGGGGAGGGGTAGGTGTGCAGTTTCTCAGATACAGACATTGGACCAACATTTGAACATGAACTGATAGTAATGAAAAGGATAAAATGCATTTTTTTGTTTAACCCTTTAACTCCCATGAGTGACCAAGACAGAACTTCTCCTTACAATATAAATACAACATCATGCAGACAAGTGATGAGAATAAATAAAAATATCAACCAGGGGATTATTAGTTGATCTAACAACAGCATTGTTGTGTTACTAAAATATTTAACACATGGAGTGTTATTCTTGCTTCAGTCCAATCAAACCTAAAGAGAAAAAAGCAACTTCTGCACTTGATTTCTTCAGTTCTACTCTAGTTAAAAGGGAATCCAGGAAAACATTTGCTAATAAACGAAAACAGGTGAATAACTAACTACACATTTTCCACCCAGAATTTTTTTGTTAGGAAAAAATCAGGCATTCTGCGTATTTTAAACAGTACTTCATGCATCATGCATTTAACAAGGAAAACATTAAAACTCACCATACTTTGCCTTTCTATAAAATTCATGCATCACATATTAATTTTGGGCCCAATTATAATCATGCATCCCTTGTAAACCCTCTGCCAATCTCTTATACAGTAATTATATCAGGATGTACTACAGTTAACACATACCATGCCACAAAATTAATGGGTAATGACCAGTGTCATAATTATTATTATTATTTGGAACAAAAAATAACTTACAATACTAATACTACTCAAAATACTACCCTTACTCTACCTAGAATAATTATTTATACAAAAACAGTAACAATAGTGGCAAAACTTTTAGGTACATTCTTGGTGATTTTAACTTTGACAATCTGGGAAGATGTTACCACTTTGTCTCCATTTTTCAAAGCAGCAGTGTCTTTCACCATCAACATTTCTTTTGGGATAACTCTTGCCTCAATTGGACAACTCTCAGCGGTTAGAATGCTTGATATACATATAAAATTTGTTCACTTCAAATTTTATCCATGGACTTTTCAGGAGGTACCAAAGACAACTCCTGCCACAGTTCCAGAAACTCTAGTTACAGACTGAAAACCAAGTCCAAAGAAAACTGTTACTCCGAAAAAGGATAAAAAGATGTTAGCTAGGAAACTCAAAACCCAAAGAACACCAAAGGTGTCAAAGTCAGAGGAAGTGGTTGAAGTAATCCATCCTCATTGGAAAAGAAAAAATCTGGTTTCTGTAGTTTTAAGGCGAGAGATGGTTCTAGGGCGCTTGGTTCAAAGGAAATCCCTAATGTAGGTTTCAAAGACCAAGATCTGATTGTTAATTCTCCCCTCTAGCTGCTACACATTTTTCTGTAAACTAATAATGAGAATTTGTTGTTAGATCATTATAACAACTACATGTACCTGATAAGTTTTAGTGTTCTAGTTACCTGTTTGATGGATAATCTATGGATATTCTAGGGAGAAGTTACATGTTAATTTCTTACAGTAGTTAAGTTATTGTTATCTCTCAAAAGGTCTTTGTGGTTTGTTTTCCATCCTTTCAAATTTTAATGAGAAATGCAAGACAAAGGAAAATGAAGATTATTAGAATTAAAGCTGGTTTGGAAAAATCTGCAGATACAGTTTACAGGAAAAAATTGTAAAATGCATGCTTTGATTAACCCCCAAGATCTCAATAGTAATTCTCTTTACTGTCTGTTGTACAATTCTTGTAATGTTATTTGGATAATTTGGTCTTGGATCAACTAATAATCCCCTGGTTGATATTTTTATTTATTCTCATCAGTTGTCTGCATGATATTGTATTTATATTGTAAGGAGAAGTTCTGTCTTGGTCACTCATGGGAGTTAAAGGGTTAAACAAAAAAATGTATTTTATCCTTTTACTATCAGTTGATGTTCAAATGTTGGTTCAATGTCAGTATCTGAGAAACTGCACACCTACCCCTCCCCTAATACAACTTTGACCCTTACTTGTTAGCAGTTGACAGTTGTTGGGTTGGGGGAGGGGTAGGTGCGCAGATGCTGACATTGATCTGAAATATTTATGGTGTATCTACAGAGTTTTTTACTTTTTCGCCATTTATATCTTTTCAGTTTGGACAGTATTAAGAGGCCTTCAAGGGAAGAACTAATTTTTTTCTCTGCTCATCTTGAATTATGCATGCACTTGATAATTTAATTTTTAGGAAGTGGAAAAACTGTTTGGATGGACTGACATTTGTTATTTCGGGAATCTTGGAAAG